AATGTATGTCAACAAAGTGTAGCAGTGGGCAGACGATGTCTTGTACATTTTGTACCAGCGGCGGCCTACCGCTCTCACAGGACGTCATGGGACGTGACGAAACAAGAAATATCTGCCGTAGAAGAAATATAAATCGGTAACTCATGCCTTAAATTCACGGCGGTTTTTGACACAAAAGAAAAATTATTATAATTTTTGTAAGGCGCGCGGCTTACTAGTACTAGCGGCTTTAATACTCACGGTAAAATGTACCGTCACTCCCGGCGCAAGGACTCGGTTCGCCAGCTGAGGACTTTCCACAACCATGATGATATCATAGTTAATAAAGGAATATATAATAGATCTATCATGTTGAAATGATAATTGTAATACATGGTTCTATTTAATAGCGGTAGTTTTGTTTCTTATTTTGAGGGGGGAAACTGTCAAAAATACGAGGGAACGCAAACTGAGATCGGCTCACTTCCGGGTGCATAACGCCAAAATTTACTCGACGATTATATAAAAATGACCACTCATTTGCCGCCTACGGTAGCGTGTACATGGTAGTGCGATCATATCGTGCCAAAGTCAGCGTCAAACGTCAGAAAATCCCCGTAAAAATATAGTTGCAAAACACATTTCCCGCGCACTCAGGGCCGGTCGCCCTGGCCGCTGCCGCCTGTGTGCAGCATGCTCATTATAATATGCAAGTAGCTACGCTCTGATTGGTTCACCTTAGATGACCTGCGCTGTGTATTGGCTAGAACGAAGCCCGTTGCATGCTGGGGCGCCCTTCCCCGCGCGAAATGATCTCGAGAGAGCCACATTTACGCTGGTTTCTACCTTATTTCTACGACTAATTAGCAACATCCTAGTGACGAAATGCGTACTCAAAAGAATTTTCGGGAAAAAAATATATGTACATGTGGATTTGTGGTGCCTTTGGCGTAATTTTGTTGGTCACATACAACGTAATGTAACACGGAAGTGCATGGAGTCGGAGTGGCGGCACGGCTTTCCGTCCCACTCTTGTCTAAACAAAACTCCAAGGACATAACAAAACTCCCCAAAACTGGTCAATAATTAGCCATAAAAATGTTGGTGGGCACGTGTAAATATGCTGCCTTTTTTCGAGTGTTATAGGAATTTTCCACGATGTTTTTGCACATCCCTAACGTTACCTCACGCCCGCCGCCTATTATGTACGGCGGACCGGGGCATTTATAACTTCAGATCATCTAGGTTTGCTTATTCAGTGGTAAAATAAGTTAACAGAGAAAAACAGCAAAACAAAGTTGACAAACTATAGAAACGCTTGCCTGGGCAACAGTGACAAAAGAAAATGTCTATCTAATTGAATTGCGCCGGTGATCGTAAAACGTTTTAAACGTTACAATATAGTAAAATGCAGGCTAGATCAACGTTCCTTCCGCTGTTCCAGCGGTGTGTATCGGTAATTTCCCGCCCCGCATGAGGTAAATTAGTACTCCTCCCATTATTCTGTGATGTTACCGCGGCCTGCATATGAATGCAGAAGTCTAACGGAAAAGTAACGGAAAAGTAACGGAAAACTTACGCAAAAGTTACGGAAAACTTACGGGAAAGTAACGGAAAAGTAACGGAAAAAAAACGCGTTAGTAACGGCCGTTAGGGTAACTATAACGCGAACGGTACTGTACAGTAGCAGGGAACATGCCATTTTCATGTATTTGGGAGCAACATTGATGAAGTACAGGGAAGCCTGAGAAATCAGTTGAAATTTCAAACCATTTTACAATACCACAAGGAATACATCAGCAGTACTCGAGTAATGTTACAAGGTAAAAGGTACAGCGATATGTGAAATAGAATCCATGGTCTAGTTTTACTGAAAAATGCACATGCTGCATGTGTCCCTCATGTGCACCACATGGGCTGAGTCACACATACTCAGAAACAACCTATGTCATCATCAAAACACAACAAGTAAATAACAAACAAACTGTTACTCACTTCCTGGCAGTGGCTGGCGTTCTCGTTTCCAAATTGGACCTGCGGACAACCATGGTGAAACATAAGATCAGCTATCGTCCACATGAATGAAGAGAGAGCAAAATACAGAGTAGTGTTTTTCCTAGGCAGGTAGTGCAACACTAGCGAGGGTGCCAACACCACATGGAGTATTATCCAGGTCTGAGATGACTCAGTCCTATTTGAGCAGGAGGGATGAGGTCATCTGTACATGTGGCAGGAGTGGACATTAATATTCATGAGGGGGTGTGGCAGGTTGATGGGCCACAGACTGACTTCCTATCTACATGTATTTGTTCTCATCAAAGTACAGGAAAGGAGTTTAGTGATTTAGGCCAAATCATCTTCATTACTTGTTTCCTTTGAGACAAGGAAATAAAAACTTGTGATGAAATGATAGAATTATTACTAATTTCTCTTTTTGTGAATTTAATTCATTGAGTTAATTTTCTTTAAAAGTCATTGATTGAGTGAGTGATTTAACAAATCACAATAACTGGCCACAAGTTCACAAAATAGTAAATTATCTGATACATTTTCAGTGACTACTTGTAATGTTTCCTACTGATTGAAAACATATGCATCAATATGATATTGATTCTGCATATAGAAATCAATTTCATTACATATTGATCAGCTACAATAATGACAACACAGGAAGCTTCAGAGAATGTACATGTGTGAAACAAGAAATTAAAATTTTGTGAGTAATTAATTCTAATTAATTCCTTCACCCATGGATTAGGGAACTCGTAAACATCCTTACATCCTTAGGTCAAAGGACTTCCCACATTTAGTTCTCTAATGATCAGTGACTACCTCCTCAGAACACAGAAAGACAGACCAAACAGACTGTTTAGCAGGTTGTTCTGTGTTTTACCTGTGCGCATCAAACCTGCTACCCATGTAATTGGCAACAAGGTCTCCTTCCTCCCTGTAACCAATGGCAGACAACTTGTTGTAAAAAGAGCACAGGGATAAAAGGAGTTCCCATCTTTTTTGTTGCTTCATCTTTTCTTCATAATCTTAGCTGGTACTGGATAGCACAGATTTGCTCTGTTGTTTTCCTTATGCTCCATTGTGACAAAAACTGTCACATTATTTGATTAGAGTTTTATAACACCACCTGCGCCTAGCAAACCATTAATTTCCGTTCCAACAATATGGGTTCAAAATAGTATAACGTACAGTTTGAGCATTATATCAAGATTGATTGCATTATGTATTTCCAGATCCCTCGTAATGTACAGATGGTTATGTGTAAGAGTTTATGAACTTCAAACTGTTGAACTTACATGAACTGGTCCAGATGTGGCAGCAGGGTTTGCTCCACCACTTTCATCTCTTTGGCATGGTCCAGGTGGATGTCATGCAGGTGTTGGTCACCAAACAGGCTTCCCAGGCCCAGGGCTCTCTTGTTTCTGGGAAGAAACAATTAACAGTCAGTACCTGTGCATTCTATAATAAACAACAGTACAATCCAGAAATGTTGTTCCTCAAACTGTTTTTTAAAAATTCTAACCGCCACAATCAAATGTTCTTCTTGGCTCCAGTAAATGCTGGGTGGTCTAGCTTACAGTGTAAACGTTCCCATGTGATCTAATTACATTGTCTGTATCTTCTAACAGGAGGTAGCAGAGAAACTAGTGAGCATCTCGTACCTGAAGTCTTGTAGCTGTTCCTTGACCACCAAACTGGCCATATTCTGTGCTGCTTGGAACAAACCTCGAAGACTGGCCTCATCATTGGACTTGTACTTCAGGGCCTCATCTAACATATAGATTACAATTAATGATACCTTGTTCTCTTGGAAGGAAGCTAGCAATTACTGTATAAATCTCATGGACACAGATATGTTTCAGAAACCATATTAATATTACCACAGCTAGCATACAGACACGATTTATAAGAAAATAAATTTGTAAAGTTCAAATTTCATGAAAAATCAACTTGAGGTAGACAGTTGTTACCCACCTATTGCTCTCACTATCCCATCATCCACATGTATCCTTAGGGGCTGGATAACAAAATGAGACAATTTAAAAGGAAGATTAGAGTCCGATCATGTAGGCTGGTTACATATAAGAACTATAACAGTTATACATATTATCAAAAACAAGCTTAATCTAAATGCAAAATACTAATAACATTTATTCCCTTTTAAGTTAGATATTACAAATAATTATCAATACATTTGTATAGGAGTACGTGGCTGGTTCTTACCGCTGATGCAACAAGAAACGTTGAGTGGATCTCATACGCCCACTTTCGCATCTCCTTCATGGTGCCATTCTTGTAGCTGTCCGTCACGATGATGAAGAACTGTGAGGAGGTTGAAGAAGTTCATGTAAACATTTTCCCCTCTGACTTCCTCATTGTCCTACAGCCAGTGTTGGCTGTATACAGGCACTAAGTAGTCAAGCAGCTACTTTTTTTGCAGCATTTCAAAAATATCATAATGCAGGCAGTCTAAATGTTAAGAAATTGAGTAATAAAAATTGTTGTTATAAAAATACCCAGTTGCTGTTACTATGTACTCCGCAACCTCTATAAGATGGACACTTTACTGTCAAGTTGGACCAGATGGGAGACTTACCAGGCTGGATGGATCACTGTTCGACATCAGGTAGTGAAGGAAAACAGCCTGGTGTGCTGAGAACAGAACAAAATCATGGGACGTGGTCAGGACCATGCAGATACATTCTCCTTATCAGCTATTTGAATAATGGTAATACCTAATATTTTTGCGATCCATTCTTGCTTTTGTGTCTAAAAAGTCATGATGGTTGCTCATTTTGTTACACATTAAGTCTTAATCCCTGAAAAAAATTACTTTGTATAAAGTATATGCACCGGTCTCTTAAAAATTTTTACATTGTTTAAAACAACAGAAATGGATTCCTGTGATTAGAAAAGAAAATTGCCAAACAAAGTGGGTTTCAAACAGCCTTATCAGGATGACAGGTTACTAGTATCCCAGACAGGCATAATAAATGGCAACAAAAATAGCAAAGAATTCACTAAGAATAAAGACCTCTGCCCCAAATAAAACAACAACAGTCTACTGTATTACACCATATAACACCAGTAACCAAGCTGTAGGAATGACAGGAGCAGCTATTTCAAAAAGCTTTGGTAACACAAGCCATGGCAGACTTTCTTATGATTCTTAAATTTTACTTGACTTACTGCTTACACATATGATACAAAACATAACACATACATACATAGTCTTTAGCTTACATTGTAATTACCAGGGTTACATCTTATTTCTAGTCTCTACAGAATATAGCAAGGGTTTAACTGAACATGTAACATTAGATATGTGACTTTGATATGGAGAAGACGTCTGTGTTTTATGACACAGGAAAGTTACAGAGGTCAGGGGTTAGTGACCCTACCAGGCTTTGTTTTCATCAATTCCAGGTCATTGAAGGGTCCATGATCCTCCATCTGAAAGAAGTATTACCAACATTTTAGAATCAAACAAAATTATGTTTGATACAAGGAAATGTTTATGCATACAACACAGTAGATGTGCATATTTTCACACAGCATGTAAAAAAACAAGAGAGTTAAATCAAGGTCATGAAAATAAACATCATTTCTAGAACACTTCATCTTTCTATTTTTGTATGTCATACATGTGGGGTAAATTCTTGCGTCTAACCAGCAACACTTCTTCCCAATTTCTAATGATTGTAGACATTTAGTTAAAAATAGGGCTGACAACTTGACACTGGGACCCTAAATACCTGCGAACTAGACCTCGGCAGGTCAAGGCACGAAAGCATCTTTCCACAATATATTTTAGTAAAGTAAGACAGTAAATTTTTGTGGATAAAGATAGTCCAAACTGTACTTTCTTAAAAACATACACAACATCATGTTACAATGAGGAATCCCTACCTGACAAAGGATCCTTGATGCCCGATCAAACCCATACACAGTTAGCAACATGCTGACTATCTAATCACAAGACCGTTTTAAGGAGGGAAAAACTAGCTCCAACCTGCTGGGACTGCTTGCATGCAATTTACAAAAGCCAAATGAACTAAATGAAATTTCGGAAAGCTCCTCTCACATTATCGTACTGTTCGTGGAGATTATTAGAGCAATGTGATCAAGGAAGACATGCAGGACGGAGCCTAATCAGTGAACCCGACCATTACAAGTGGAGGACGGGTGGTAGCATCGGGTTACAGCTGGTTCAAGCTGGAAACACATCTGTGTCGCTGCCAGGCCAGCAGGGATGTTTCCAATAGAATGTGAAGGAAGCGATCTGCCTAACTCCACAATTCCAATGACATGCAAATTAAAGTATAATTTGAGTACTGCATTATTGAATTTTCAAGGGAACCAGAAATCATTATGGACACCAAGTAGCTTGCACACAGCACACCAAAGGGATGATAATTGTTGCTCGGAGAATTGTTTAGTCACTAATGATTTATATTCTAATCTAAGAAAGCTTCCTAACTGTGTGATACCCTAACTGTGCGATAAAGGGACAACTAGAAAGTATGGTGCAGAAGGTGTGAATAATAATATTGATATGTAAGACATGGCAAGGATGAAAACCCAACAATATTATAAGTACTGATTGATGACCAAGAGTGAAGAGGTGCTGGCTGATAGAATTATCCAATTAATAATATGTACCTCGCTGTGGATCTGTTGAATGCTGGAATGACAATCATACATGTACTTATGTATCCCAGCAACAGCATGTGGGAAGAAAGTATGGCCTGGCACAGTCAGCCACATGGCAACACATGCTCACAAAACAGCAAGGATAGAGATGATATCTACATTGTATTGATAGAATACTGTATGATGTTTGACCACTTAGCAGCACCAAAAAAGGAAGAAATTTATGGTGCTCCATACTTTTAAGCAGTCTTATCAATTTTGTCTTGAGCTAGTATGCACAAGCCAAACATTGTCCTTTAGGACTGTACATTTGACTGCACTTCAAACAAAGAAAGCTTGTCTTTCAGTTTGTACCCAAGGTTTGGCACAACAGCATGCATCGAGATCTAGAGGCTTAAAACTGATGAATCAAAATTGAGAATGAATATGGTTGGTATAAATATGAAGTCAAATAGAACAGAGCTGTTGCACCAATCAAAATGAAGGGGAACCAATAGGTAAGGTGAAATAAGAAGTGTCACAGACCTGGGAGGGGGGATAGGGAGAATAGTGACCAGCTTCTTTACTGGTGGCAACAAACACCTCCTACAAGAACAGACAGCGATAGAGAGAGTAAACTCAGTCAGAAGACATACAAATGCGTCGACAAAAAAAGCAGAACAAAGCATATGATCCTGGTCACTATTCAAAGTAAGAAGGAAGCAATACGGAGGCCCAGGAACAGGAGTTTCAGCCTCTGGGATCACCAAGCATAGCTCCACCAAAAACACAGGCTTTCTGCTGTTCATTCTTCAAGAGGAGCACAGTAAAACAAGGATCTCTTTGGTAATTGTGAAAAAAATGAAACCAACGTGAGAAAGAAGTGAATACGTTGTTGACAAAAGAAAGCATAGATGGACAAGGCATTACTTGATAATAAATAAGGTGTAAAAACTTGAGATTACATTTATTTGGCAATAGGGATGAGTGAATAGAGTACAAGTCACAAGGGAAGTTTGTGAACACAATCCATCCAATGCATTCAGGCCAAAAGGCCAAAAAGATAAGTTATGCTTCAACTGTAAAGATATAAACATTCCAACAGAACATTCATATTTTCTTCCTTCACAACACTTTGAAAAAAAGCAGCATACATTTACAAACACACATAAGCTAGGGATATAAACTGGCGGGGAGTGAGAGAACTCATCATGACAAGAAAACCTACAAAGAGACTGTGTGATTTGATATTGAGCACAAACACGCACATCCTACAAGACTTGGATGGATAGTATCAGTGAGTTTGGGATAGCTAACTTCCTGCCTGTACATGTCATGCATGTTCCTAATATACTCCCTGGCTACATTATACATTATGTGATGCTTACATTTTCATTGTCTGACTGGAACTCATCGTCCTCCATGGATATGATGTTGAGTTGAGTGGAAGGCAAGGCCAGGTTTGAGCCTTGTTCTGGAGGTTTGGGAAACGATGCTTCCTCTGCAGTCTGGGCCACATCAGGAGAGATGGGCACCAGTCTTCCCCCATCTACCTCTACATCCTGAGGACAGAAAAAAAGGCACTTTAAATCGGTGTGTCTCAAAATCAGCATAATGGAGATGAAACCTTCAAAGCAGATGAAATTGTTTGAAAAAAACGAAAGTTGTACATGAAGAGGTCACCAAGACTCGTGGAATTTCCATGGCACTTCATGTGTAATTTAGGGAATCCTGACGATGACAAAGTGCAAAATGTACCCAGGTGCCCTTGTGTGGGACTATTGTGTTGTGTCAGACAGGTGGAGAACATAGCAATGACCAATGTCCAGGTGTGAAGGGTAGAACGACAGAGAAGAAAGAGTGTTTGAAGTGGTGAAGAGAAGAGACAAACCTCCCCGTTCAGACTTTCCCGAGGAGAGTAGTACTGCTCGGTGTCCGAGTCCGAGCGTTCCTCGACCTGAGAGCAGAGTGAGCATCCAAACTTACAGCTACAGGGTTAGTGGCAACTGGGTTTGTACAGTAATTCACATAACCACTGGCATCATGTTGTCTCCTCACAACATCACCAAGAATGTTTAATGCTGATCCTAAAGGTGTGTTTGAATCTCATGACACAATCTTTAAAACTCCCATTACTCAAAGACTTTACCTATGGTATCAGATACTTAAAATGGGTAAGAATGTTTTTATTTGTTTTCTATATTGAAAACTTCAGGAGGTTGGTTGTCTACAGCAGCAATGTTATTATCAGTAAAAAACATGTGGTTTAGAGGTTGATGCCAGTGATATGGAAGTACAGGTAAAGCAGAATGTACGGTTAAGCTTGAGCTATATTGGGCAGCTAATTTTAGAAACACAGCCAGCTTGACGCAATACTGCCATGGTTAAGGAAGGAAAAAGAAAGAATACACCTACCTACACTAGGCCCAAGCCTTCTGATCTACATGAACTGGACAGTTTGTGTATGGGGTGACAACATGCTCACATGTACAGTGGATGGGCCAGACCAGTTGAGCTACTTTCTTTATACATGTACATAATATCACCTGGTACATTAAATTTTGGGTTTACTCTCAGTCTTTAAAAAAACAACAACAGAAAAGAATAACTAATGTTGCAGTTTTCAGGAATTTTGTACCATTGTGTGGATGTGTGTTCAGGTAGTACAAGTCTTAGGAAAGGAAAGGGTTCATATTATCATAGTTTGGGCTATTATATAACAATTAGTCCTTAAAGAGAAGAGGTAATCCAGTCAAATAGCACAATTGGTCTGCCCTCCTGAACCCAGTTCACAGCCATGCAGCACTGGTTTTTGCAATACATGAGAAAAGTAACATGCATCTGCAGTGACATTTTTTGTGATCAGTGCATGTATAATGTACCTCAAGACCATTAGCTTCAAATGCATCACAGTCATACACACTTTGCTTGCGCGGCCAGAAACAGCACAGAAAGTCATGATCATGCAGACAAACAGACCTCCTCAACAGGGCTCCCTGAGGGGGTGTAGTAGCCCCCCTCACTCAGTACACTGTAGCGATTTTTGTTGTTTTTGAAAGTCAGTCTACGACAAGGGATTGCCTTTACAAATGCACAAGCAGGAGAAAAGAGAAGGAAACACATAACAAAATCAACAGAAGGGAATAGAACAGAAAAAGAGCTTGGAAAGAAAGTCAGGATAGTAAAGTAAAGTAAAATAAATTAAAATAAGATAAAATAAAATAAAATAAAGAAATTTAAACCAAAGCTAGTGCTTACCAAGATTACTTATTCAACAAACACTTCTCATCCCTCATGCTAATCATCTTAGTAACTTATACAAAATACAGATTTATCAGTCCATTACTAATGTTTATTTCTCAACTATTGATAAATAGTACAATGCAACACACATAACAAAAAGGCAGGAAGCAATATTATACAAGACTAGTCATGATTTCCTAGGTTCCATATACTGGTTTTGTGCCAATTGTGCACAAAATTTTGGTGCGCCTAATTTTTTGTTAGCCTCCTTCGCAGTCTTGTTGGGCGTGGGCGTAATTTTTTCTCTGAGCGACGCGAGTAATATGCCGCCGCGAGGGACGATTTGCTGCCGAGGGACTTTTGCCACGGAGAGAAGGTTTCCGCGCTCCAACAAGACTGCTTCCATTCGGCGAGTAGAAAGGACCTCGGATTAAGCCAGCCTTTCATAGAGGCTATTAACATGTTCGTGCAGGTCCAATTCACATGTTCGTGCAGGTCCAATTCACATGTCCGCGCAAGGGTAATTCACACATACGCATGGAGAAGGCTCGCCTTTGTCAACGGTTGGTTGCGTTACGTTATAGTCGAAGGTTCCAACAGAGAAAGAGTGAACATTGGTAATGTTACAACAAAGGCATTGCTGTGCATATTTAAGCGTCCCATGCAAACAAACCAAGACAATTTGCAGTACTATTTTTGCTGGTGAAATGTGCCATTCTTTCTATTACGCAACTTGCTGCGGAGCGGTGCGTTACCCTCCTATGACCAGTGAGATCAACCCGCCACCAAACAACATGGCGGCGCTTTGTTTATCTGTCGACGTCCCCCTGCAATATCACAGTTTAGCTAGCGGGCTCCTGTGGTAGTGATCTTTTCAAAGTTGTTTTTTGTAGCAGCACTGATGTCTCCGGGATTTTGTTGAGTGGATAGGGCTCGGTTTTCGGGAATGGTTGGCGTTCTACCGACGGGTTGATCGGCGACCGCTAGAAAGTTACAAGTTTTGGCTCGTCGAGGAACGGGGCGTGAACACCACCCTGTACTGGTGGCGTTTATTGCGGGAAGTTCACACATCCATGCCAATCGCTCCTAAGTGTTTTTTGATAGCCCTTTCTACTCGCCGAATGGAAGCAGTCTTGTTGGAGCGCGGAAACCTTCTCTCTGTGGCAAAAGTCCCTCGGCAGCAAATCGTCCCTCGCGGCGGCATATTACTCGCGTCGCTCAGAGAAAAAATTACGCCCACGCCCAACAAGACTGCGAAGGAGGCTAATTTTTTGTGCATCTTATCAGAAAAATGAATTTCGACCCCTGCGGAATATATCATAAAAGCCATGACCAGCAGATATGATCTACAGTTCCCTTGATTGTTGAAGACTCACCTGTGAGACATCAGGTGAAGACTGTAGTTTCCACTCCTCTCCAGAGTCTACATCTCCTGAGCTGTCAGTCATCCTCCTGGACTGTACAGGGCTGACGTGTGGAGGGACATCTCCACCCTCCTTCACATTATCACCTGAGCCCATCCGCATAACATCTATCAATAAACAGAATGGAATGTAAGTTTTCATGCCTGACTTTCTCTAATTCAGCCATGCTATACATAGAGTTAGATGTGGGGAAGATTTTAAAAATACATCCTACAAATGTTATGTAAAACTTGAGTCAATGTCCATAGTTGTGCACAAAACTTACCACTGGGCTAAGCCACATCTATATCAAGTAAATGAATATAACATCTTATCACCTTTGAATTACACAAGTCTATATATTTTACTTCTACTAAATTTACTGTTCTGTCCTGTTCATAATAGCAAGCGCTATTTCTCTCCAAAAAAATGTGTACCTTTTTCTACACCTTTCTAAGTTAATGCAAACCCCAGATTGTTGATTGGATGTGTGAATTAGTAAAGACCCTGAGAGCAGGCAGACAGACCTGTGGACAGAGGCAGAGAGTGGCCCCTGTGCCGCCACCACGCAGCCACTGCATGAGAGGACAGCAGTGGAACAGAGACTGAGGAGAA